CCTACTTGAACTATCACTATCTATGTATTGAAATACACCTAGTTGAGTATATATGATGATAGTTCAGGTAGGAAAAGGAAAACAATTGGTAATTATAGTGTGAAACTAAGAAAAAGAAGTCAATTCAAATATGCTTTTCATAAATTGAGATGTGAAACTAGCGAAAAATTAAAACTCACAATGAACTTATAAACCCAAAAAAATTGAACTTATAGTGTTTCAAAAAAGTAATAAAAAATGAGAAAAACATTTGAGAATTACTCACCAGAAGCAAACATGAGAAAAAAGCAAAAGAGTAGAGCACAGAAAGTGATTTTGCTAGCCATTTTTCTAATTAAGATATACTTTGAAATACTTTAATTTTGTGTGAAACTTAGGATATCAAAGGATGTATTTATAGTGATCCAAGAATAATATTTTTTTTCCTAAATTAGGTATAAATTAACCTCAAATACAAGATAAGGAAAATGTCAAAGAAATCAACTAGATTTTACTTTTATGGTTTCATTTCCGGTGTTCAACATCTATACTAAAGTCCTGATTAATCTGACTCGCTCGTATAAGATCAATTTAGGAGAGAAACGCTCCTTACTAGGTTTCTTTCTTAACCAAAAGTCGAAATTGAGACCTCTAGTTAAACGTCGAGAAATCCTATTCATCTCATCGTAACCCTCGATGATTAAAAATATCAACTAGATAAACATTGAAAGAAAAAAGAAGGGAGGAATACTTAGTCTTTGATAAACTTTTGAAGTAATCAAAGTTTTAATTTTCTTCATCCATCATCATGAAAGTAACAATATTCCTACAACTGTAAATAAATAAAAAATTACTTGGAAATCGTACAATTCAAAGGGTACTTATTCAAAGGTAGATATATAATAATTATTTTTAAAAATATTATGGTTAATTTGAAAATATAACAGGAAGACTAATAATAGTCATTATAAAATCATAGTCAAGCTAATTAAAATGATAGTATAACTGTATTAAATACTTGGACTGCAAGTCAACATTTTTATCAAATCACCGTTTCATATTTATCAAGAATTTTATCCATAATTACCTTACGATCTTACAGTGTGAATTAATTTATATATTTTCAATGCATGAACTCTTATATTTAACCTATATTTTACAAGAAATTACGCATGTTTTTTGTTTGTTTATGTTTTGCTTTTTAACTTTTATGTATGTTGGAATTGATAATTTACAAAATCAAATCGAGGTAAATATTGGAATATAGTGAATATAACAACCTATACTAACAAAAAGAAGAGTCATGTGATTAAGAAAAAGTTGAACAAGAAAAAATAAAAAATGTCATGAGTTTATCTCTTAATTATCAAAGTAAATTTGTTGTCATCATTGGTGATTTTGAAGATACCAAGAATTAATGTTGCTTCTTGAATAAACTAATTAATTTTATAACATAGTATCAATTATTGCTACCCAAATTTATGTATTGTCCCTATATATATATATATATATATGTTGTTAGTGTAGGTTAATATATACCTAATTCTTATAACAAATTAAACTTCTTGTTAATTATTTCATATAGAAAAAAGAAATCAAAATTGAAAATGGCTGAATATTATGTTTGTTATTCTAGGTTTCTTGTGATACTTCTTTGCTTGCTCCTCATTGCTTCAAATGGTGAGTAATGAAAAAGATTTAAGTTTAACTATATACCGATAGTTTAAAGGATTTTTATATTATTATTGCAATTTAATTTGTTATAATAAATAATTACATATTTTTTCTTATTATCGTGTCAGATATATTGACATGCATAATAATTCATTGTAGTAGATAAACTTAATCTAATAATTATCTATATATTGTTGATGGAAAATAATAAAATAAGCCCGAGTTAAAGCACAAACAAAAAAGAAAGGTGAAAAATAGAAAAGAAAAAGGGAAGACTATGATTGTTTGTTGACAACATCAACTTTATGATGTGATGAGTAGTTGATTCTTATTGCATTTGTCTACTCGAGCATAGTTTTAAATTCAATATACATATTCTCTATCCTCTTGTCATGTCACTCCTTTGCTGTAAATTGATATGAGTTTTGGTCGAGCGTAGTTAATCAGCTTCGTAATTTATTTATTTTTTATATTATTATTATTTTATTGTTATTCTTATTATTATTTGCAGAAATTGAAGTTGTGGATGGTGCTAGTGCTGGTTTTTGTGACAAATGGAGTAAAAACTTTAAGGGGCAATGTTATAATGGTTACCATTGTGATAATGTATGTACAAATGAGGGGTATATTTTTGGAGGAGAATGTTTGTGGGAAGGCATTTTTAAGGGAATGGCTTGTATGTGTATCTATAGTTGTTTGAATCAAAAATCATCATCAAGTCAAATATAATTGAGCGTAAAAATTTATTTGTATTTGATGTTTATATAAAATTTAGCATTTTATATGTAAATATCGATTACAAATAAATTTGACTATAAGAAAATTGTTTTTGATTTGATATCACTTTATATGTACTGATTATCATTTGTGAAATAAAATTGAAAAAATCAATAATTATAAATATGTACTCATCATATATATAAGATGAATTTGGATTAGTAAGTAATATATAAGGTATTCTAATAATATAGATTTAATTCATAAAAGTTGATCTTGATGGTCCCAAACATATATAATTGCCAAGACACATATTAATACCATATCTTTCATATATAAAACATCAAGTTGCAAACATTTAGACCATAAATAATTTATGACCATTATTCCTGCAATATTAAACATGTAATTGCAGACATTTATTCAATCATACATTATTTAAGACACATTGTGCCATAAGTAAAGTCTTATGGCCAAAATATTGTGCTTCATTGATTTAGTTTTTCAACATTTATAATAGCAGTAACAATATCCCTTGTAACAATCTCCATAATCTTCATGATCCTTATTTTTGCACCAATTGTCACATTTTTTTTCAAAACATTTCCCATTCCACCCTTTACTAGGCTTTCTACAGTATTTTGCTTCTGTTATCTGCATCTCTGCGTTAAAAATCATAGGATAAAAAATATAAATATTAGGAAATAATAATAATAAAAAAAATTAAAACATGTCATTTCATGGTTTTTATTACTTCTTTAAGTCTCAATTTATGTGACAGTTTATTGCTTCTGAAAAGTTAATTTGATTAATTTTTAAAGCTATATTGGATTAGATGAGCTAGTCAATGATTTTAAAATAGAAAAAAGATAATGGTCAAAAACACACTTAAATATCATTTTTCACAGGTTTCATACGTTAACTATATCAGTTGTTTCCTTTTCCTACTTGAACTATCACTGTCTATGTATTGAAATACACCTAGTTGAGTATATGATGATAGTCCAGGTAGAAAAAAGGAAAACGGCTGATGATATTTATGGTGTGAAACTAGCAAAAAAGTGACAATATTCAAATATGCTTTTGATCATAAATTGAGATGTGAAACTAGCGAAAAAATACTAACTCAAAATGAACTTATAAACCCAAAAGAATTGAACTTAAAGTGATTTGTTTGTTCTATGGAATAGAACAAAAAAAGTAACAAAAAATGAGAAAAATATTTGAGAATTACTCACCAGAAGCAAACATGAGAAAAAAGCAAAAGAGTAGAGCACAGAAAGTGATTTTGCTAGCCATTTTTCTAATTAAGATATACTTTGAAATACTTTAATTTTGTGTGAAACTTAGGATATCAAAGGTTGTATTTATAGTGATCCAAGAATAATATTTTAAAACATTTTTTCCTAAATTAGGTATAAATTAACCTCAAATACAAGATAAGGAAAATGTCAAAGAATTCAACTAGATTTTACTTTTATGGTTTCTTTCTGGATCCTCGACATCTATATTAAAGTCCTGATTAATCTGAATTTACATCGTATAAGATCAATTTAAGAGAGAAACGCTTCCTACCAGGGTTTCTTTCATAACCAAAAGTCGAAATCGAGACCTCTAGTTAAACATTGAGGAATTCTATTCATCTCATCGTAATCCTTGATGGTTAAAATTTTGATAAACATTGAAAGAAAAAAGAAGAGAGGAATACTTAGTCTTTGATAAACTTTTGAAGTAATCAAAGTTTTAATTTTCTTCATCCATCATCATGAAAGTAACAATATTCCTACTACTGTAAATAAAGTCTTAAGAAAAAAAAAATTACTTGGAAATCGTACAATTCAAAGGTAGATATATAATAATTATTTTTAAAAATATTATGGTTAATTTGAAAATATAACAGGAAGACTAATAATAGTCATTATAAAATCATAGTCAAGCTAATTAAAATTGGTAGTATAACTGTATTAAATACTTGGACGGCGAGTCGACATGTGTTAAATAACTATGTTTCAATTTCAAATTTAAATTCCGATAATATATATGAATTATTAAAGTATTTCATCACTTAATTAATGAAGATCAAATAATCAATCAACTTCATTGATATATTTGTCTCATGTATATTTTCTTCTTATCTATTTTAGTCTTGATAAACAGATTTATCTAATAACTGTTACAGGTGAAGGTTGACATATATCTCATAAAATTAGTTGATATGCACGAAAATTGACTTAGACACTATAATTATTCAAAAAAAGAAGAAGCTTATTATAAAAATATTTTAATTTGGAGCTTCATTAAATTTCATGAGATTTAAGATATGTACAAATAAATTCGAACACCACCAACAAAGAACTTTTAAAAAAAAATCATTTAACATTTTCAAGCAAGATGCACGTATTGGTAAGATTTATGTATGTCGAGTCCTGAATATGAAAAAATCCTTGAAAGATAACACCTTCTTCCGAATGGGATTCAATACGGTACGAATCTGAAATAGTTGAACTACAATGCACGTCCGGACAGCAGATATGGAAGCCAAATAAAATAAAATTTACATCTGGACTAAATTGTACTTTTTGAAACAATGCAGGACCTTTCTGCAATTTATTCTTCCTTCACCCTCACCAATTCGATTCCATTGCCACTATTCTACCTTTTTTTTAAGCATAAACCCTAGTTGAATTTGTGAAGAAAATTTGAGAAAAAATCAAATTTTGAGCAAATCCCAGATTACAAGATTTGAAAAAAAAGATGGTGGGTACAAATTTGAAAGCAGAAACTATGAAGTTAATGGATGAAAGAACCAATACTGAAACTGAAATGGATGTTATTATTCAGCGCCTTTGCCAACCTGGTGGCCCTGGACTTTCAGGAAACCTTGTTGATTCTGAGGTGATTCTTTTACTTTTTTGTTTTCTGGGTGTTTTTATTTTTATGTGATTTTAGATTTTGTGTTTAATTTTTTGGATTTTAGAGTACTTTTATGTTGATGGGGTAGTTATGGAGGAACGATAAAGTTGTCTCTGTGTGATGTATAGGTTATGGGTTCGAGTGGTGGGGTAAATGGTCTACATAACATCTGTTGAGGTGTTGTTGGCCCTTTCTTGAATCCTGTGTGAACATGGGATGCTTTGTGCATCGGGCTGTTCCTGAGTGTTCTTGTGTTGAGTGGGAGTATAGAGCAATGATAAAGTTGTATTTGTGTGATGTATAGCTTATGGGTTTGAGCTGTGGAGTTAGCTAAATTATGCAAGTGTATGGGTAAACTGGCTACATTATTCCCCTTGGGGTGTGGCTGGTTGTTCCTGGAACCTCCTGTGGATGCAGGATGCCTCGTGCTGTGTAGTCAGTCTAATTGATGTTAAAGGGGAGGCTTGGATCAACTGTAAAGTTGTCTCCTTGTGACATATATGTTATGGGTTCGAGCTGGGGAGTTAGACAACTTATGTAAGCGTATGGGTAGACTGACTATATTACTTCCCTTGGGGTGTGGCTGGTCCTTTCCTGAAACCCCCGTGAACTCAAGATGCTTCGTGTTGTGTAGTCAGTCTAACTGACGTAAAGTTGTCTCCATGTGACCTATAGGTTACGGGTTTGAGCTGTGTAGTCGATCTAACTGATGCAAGGATATGGGTAGACTGACCAAATTATGCCCCTTGGGGTGTGGCTGGTCCTTACCTGAACTCTCCATGAACGTTGGATGCTTCGTGCTGTATATAAGTGTAACTGAGGTTGAAGGGGAGTCATGGATCAACTGTAAAGTTATCTCCGTGTGACCTATAAGTTACGGGTTTGAGCTGTGTAGTCGGTCTAACTGATGCAAGGATATTGGTGGACTGCCCAAATTACGCCCCTTGGGGTGTGGCTGGTTCTTCTCCGAACCCCGTGTGAAAGCCTGATGCTTCATGCATCGGGCTGCCCCTGTGCTCTTAGGTTTATTTTATTTATGTTGAAAGGAACTTTATCGATTTGAGATTTTTTTCTCATTTGAGTGGTTGATTTTTTCTTTTTTTCCTTTTGGGTTTGTGATTTGATGTGTCTTTTGATTATAAAGACTGAAACTTTGAAGCTAATTGCAGGGGTTCCCAAGAACTGATATTGATATTCCCACTGTGCGTGCTGACCGGCGTAGGCTAGCTGGTAATGCTCATAAATGTCTGTTTTATTAGTTGTTTCTGAATTTTAGACTTGTTGGGGTTTGTGATATAAGCATCTGTCTGTTTTTCTCTGAAGCTTTAGTCAATGAAGTTACTTTGGACTTGATTCTGATGTCATAACTTAGTGGAAGTTCTGACTGATATCCCTGCAGTATGTTTTGAGGAAGTACTATTTTGTTTATAGCTGTGGTGATTGGGACCAGCTTGAATGAACCTCAACTAATCCAGTGGGTACCTTCTGCCTTTGACCAGCAGAGGTATCCTGGTAAATTTGTCCTCCAAAACTTTGGATGATAGAAAAGAATCACCCTGTTGGGATTTGAACCTTGGTCTCCTATGATTATTATACCACCTCATCAACCCCTAGACCACGACCTTATGTTCAGGAAGTATAATTTAAACTAAAGTTGTGAACTCTCGATTTTACTGTCCCAAGTCTTGGTTCTGTGCCTCCAAAACATGCTTACTTAGTGTAAGGAAGTAGAGAAATGAACATGTTAATATTCAGAAATAAAGTGCTCACGGTAGATGTTAAGATTCTTTGCTTTTAACTGGGGAAAGAGACATTTTTTTATATTGAGTTGACAAGTCAGGTAATTGTGTGAATACGTTAAGTATAGGGAAATTATTTTGTACCCGGAAGTTGTAGGTGTTTTTGTAGGTACCAAAAATTAGCATTTGAGTTTTCTAACTGAACGTGAGGTGTTTACTTGTTATCTATAGATAAATCATCCTAACGCAGAGATTGAGGAAGAATTGGTGCTGTTTATTTTTAATAGTTTTTATTCCAGAGCATGCGATGTTATGCACATCGTTTGCTGCAACATCAGAAATTCACCTTCTGTATTCTGTAATGTTGTATACTTTGTTGTTATTGTTTCCAGAACAACTCATGTTTCAGCAGCAATATAGTAAATTATATCTGCTCTTCTCTAAAACCACATTGTGTTTCCACACTGCAGAGCTGCGTAATGATCACAAGATTATAACAGAAAAAATAGACCAAAATATTCAAGTTCTGCATTCGGCACGGCTTGCTTCTACACCTTCTGTCAAAGATTCAGGTACATGACATTGGTGGATCACATCAAATCACTTTTTGATAAGAACATTCTCATTCTGTGCTACTTAAAAGGATCTATAGTTTTGTCTGAGAAGGTCGGTAAATTTTTATCAGCAAGTGGGAGGGACAGGTGCATGAGCAATAGTAATACTTTTCCTTATGCATCAGTTGGTTTTAGTAGAGCTGACTTCGTTGGTACATGTGCTGATCAACCATCTGATTTACATGTTTCATGTTTAACCATCATCTTTGCTTATCCAACTGAAATATCATATCTTCTGTGTATGCTTCTGCATCAACTCCTGTGTTTGCTTGTAAATTCTCATTCCATCCTGCTATTTGGTTTACGGAGAAGGACCAAAATGTCTCTAACCTATTCAATTTTGTCTAAAAAATTTACCCTATCAATTAAAGTGCCTCTTAACATATTGAATTTCGCTAAAAAATACCCTCCTCTCACCTATTGAACCAAAAATAACGCTGAGCCTTTTTTGGTCCAATAGATGGAAGGAGGATATTTTTTAGCCAAATTCAATAGGTTAGGGCATTTTTGAGCCAAAAAATAACAATGAGGGCATTTTTGATCCAACAGGGGGAAGAAGTTTTTTTCCAGCCAAATTCAATAGGTTAAGGGTATTAGTTGCTCAAGTTATACTACTTCCGAATTCTTACTTAAACATTCATGTGCATCACTACACATAAGTGTACTGGTACGTTGAACCATTTTCTAGAAGTTGAAGTTGTAGTTGATGTAGGATATTGATCTTCTTGTCTCGTATTGGTATAAGCTATTCCAAAGTTCACTGAAAATTGCTACTCCATCAGTTTCATGGTATGTTTCAGTCTTTCCCTTTTAGTCTCTTTAAAAAGAATGGCATTTTTCTATATTTGAGAACTCTGTAACTTGAAAATTTACTCGTAATAACATGCATGTGTAGCCATAGAAATGCCATGATTAAGACCGCAAGTTCTAAGGGTACTTTAGGTATGTGCCTAAAGTCGTTCTTTCTATCCTATGCTCCGTAGAATCAAACACCTTCGTATAAAATGAAACGTAGCGAGTGTACAGTTAATGGAGCATTTTCTTGTGGGAGGTCCTGACAATATATCCTTTTTCTTTCTAAGATGCTGCTGCTGGTTTAGGTGTTCAAGGATCTGCTGTCAATAGTGGTTCCTCATCATTTCCGGGCAATTACTCTGTGACAGCTGCTACAAGTGCCGCCATGGACATAGATGTAGTTTTCAGCAGACCCTTTGCAGTGATTGATGAAATAACCGAGGCATCTCCAGCTGCAGAGGACGGTTTACAACTTGGAGATCAGGTTGTGAGATTTGGGAATGTCCAGTCAGGTGAGAATCTGTTACAACGACTTGCTGCTGAAGCACAGTCAAACCAGGGTTGTGCAGTTACCATGACAGTTCTGAGGCAAGGTGCTATGACTAACGTACAAGTGACACCACGAGTGTGGCAGGGTCGCGGCCTGCTTGGGTATGTTTATCTTTCCTTGTTAATCCATGAACAGAACATTCCCTTATTGCTTTATTTTCTTTCCCTCATTTGTATCGTATCATCTTAACTTACATAATGTCATTAACTTGTAATCCGTTAACATCTGCAGATGCAATTTTCGGATCTTATGATGAGTTTGTCAATGGTATGTCACAAAAGAGTTGATATGAAGGAAGGATTCATCCGCGTCTTCTTAAACCTCATGTATTTTCTGTTGTTCTTATATTGAACGAACACAACATGTTTTCTGGATTCATCGATCGCAATCAAATGGATGTTTTGTATTTTCCCTCATTTAGTTGCTTCATATGAGTTCCTTTATCACCTTTTGTGTTCTCTGTCTAAGCCAACTTCTAAAGTTGATTGCTTTGCTAAAGAGTTGTGGATTGAGTTATGACCCATTATTTAGTCGATTTTTATCTAATCTATTTCAGCTCAAGTGATTTTTGGGTGAGTTAATGAACCTGAATATTTATTAACTCAGTTCATTTTAATCTGTTCAAATTTTATTCAATCTGTCTATTTGACACCTAATTTCAACAATCTTTTTTTCTTCTTTACTAAATTTAGGAAATGAAGTTTGAAGATTAAGTTTTTGGTTAATGATTTTTTTTAAAAAAACTTTATTAATGTTTGAAAAGGAAAGTAGTATGTTATGGGAGATTAATTAGTTTTTTTTTTTTAAAAAAAAAGAGAATATTTGAAGTTAATTGAATAGAAGTTCGAGTTATGTTTGAATATGAAAATAGAGTTGAGTTGATGATATTTTTATAATTTTGTTGATTAGGTGCACACTAAACTTATTGCACTTTTGAAGGTAGTGAGTTTAGAATTATATATTTGTTGAAATTATTAATAATTTTTTGAATTATTCAAAAATTAAGAGATAAGATGGAAATTAGCACCTTAATTAATATTGTTGACAATGACTGTCACTTTCTATTTTCCATCATGTTATTATTATAAAGATGCAAACAAGAAATAATGGATACCAACACGAAATTAAGCATAGTTATTATAATTAGATTTTTTTTTTTATATTGAGGTTAGGTTAAATTCATATTCGTACTGGGAAGTCTTGGAGGGTAATGATTATGTACCTAGTAGGGTTTGAATATGAGAAATCTAATTGAGAATTAAAAGTACTTACGACTCCATCACAATTCGGATTATAGTAATCTCTATCATCATAGAGTATAAATAGGAGAAAAATTGTTGGATTAGAATCATGATTAGACACACAAGTTAAAGAAGAAAACACTGGTGGACTTGGATTGGAAATAATTCTTAATCAGAGATTTTAGATTTGAGTTCGGAAAATGAAATCACATTTGACAGAAAATAGTTTATCCTAAGATAATTTTTTGAAAAACAGAGGACAACTATAGAGTAGTGTGAGAGATTGGCTACAAATGGATTCAGTAGAAATAAAGATAGACCGAAGAAGTATCGAGAGATGTGATTAAACATGATATGACACACTTATAGCTTACTGAGGACATGACCTAAGATAGAAAATATGGAGGACACAAATTAGGATAGATGGTTAGTAAGTAGGAGTGCATCTATATTAATTACCCAAATAAAATTTGAACCTAACCCAAACAAGAGGGACCATTTTGTTATTTTCTACAGATCTCTTTCCCATTACCACATTCAAAATCAAATCTTTTCATGTTCTCATGTTTTCTTTCCCCTCTAAACTTTACTTTAAAAATGTAGTAGTTGAAGTAGAGTTAAAACCAAGAAAAGAAAAAAAATAAAATGAAAAACATGATTAATAATTAAGAGGCACATAAAGTGGAAGATGAACAATTAATATGGAACGGGAGAGTGAGTAGTAGTATCACTTTATAATGTCAGCATTTTTGTTTCCTCCACAGATTGTAATGAAATTCTGAAAAGAGGAAAATGATTTGATTGTTTTGTTGATCTTGCTATTTTGTTGTTGTTGTTTTCCCTTCTATTCTACTTTGGTTACACTTCTTTTGAGACGAGGGTCTATCCGAAACAACCTTTCTACCCCCATAAAGGTAGGAGTAAGGTCTGCATACGTCCTATACCCTCCTAGACCCCATTTGTGGGATTATACTGAGTATGTTGTTGTTGTAATTGTATGGAAATTAATGTGGGAACTTGAAATCTTGAATCTTCTCTTTAGTTTGAGGTGGATGGGATTTTTATTGTGTGCATTTGAATATTTATGGATATGTTGAATGTTTAATGTAATGGGGTTTTAAAGTTCGAGCAACTTGTTTCAAAAATTTCGTTTTTTGAGTCTAGGACCTATCGAAAACAGTTTTTCTAACCCACAAAGATAGGGTTAAAGTTTGTATACACTTGACCTTTTCCAGATCCCACTTGTGGAATTACAGTGAGTATGTTGTTGTTGTTCAAAGTTTGAATCTTTGAGATGTTTATAATATAGTTTTATGTATGGAAATGTAGGAACTTGAAATCTTGAATCTTGTCTTTGTCAGAGGAGGATGAGATTTTTGTTGTGTGCATTTGAATATTTAGTGTTATGTTGAATGTTTAGTTTAATGGGGTTTTAAAGTTTGAATCTTTGATTAGAAAAACTCATATTTGTACATATTTAGTAGATTTCCGAACACTTTACAAGATTTGAGTCAAAACTACTGGATTCTGCTGAACTCGTAACTTGAGAGTTGAGACTCATCTCCGCTCTTGATCTGTTGTCTCTACAGAGGGTTTTCAGCAATGTTTGGGAATGTTTGAGGATTTGGAGGAGGGAAGTTTGCGTAAAATGTCGGGTGTTTCAAGGGTAAAGTCAATGAATGTGGTTGATTCAGAAGCAAGGGCAATCCTTGTACCAGCTGTAAATCTAGTAGTACTCCTAGTAGGAAGAAGCAATTCACGTCGAAATCTAAAAGTGTTGTTTCAGACAGTGCATCAGATTCTTCACTTGAAGGTTTGCAGACAAAGAGAACATGTGCTTGGGTGACAACCAGTACTGGTATGTTAGTGATTCTTCCCATTTAGAAGATCTGGTTTTCGATTTTAAAGTTCATGTTATCAAGCTGATGGCCGGTAGCTAGGAATTCGTTATATGAGAACGTTCAAATCGTTATATATGAATATTCGAGCTGAATCTGGAGGGAGTTTAAGGTTTGTAGGGCTGTATAATTCAGGTATGCAACCCTGATATGAACTATCACTCGGTTTTCTTGAACCAGGTGATAGTTCAGGTAGGAAAAGAGAACAACTGATAGTTGGAGTGTGAAACTCGCGAAAAAGTGATAATTCAGGTGTGTGTTTGACTATTATGTAGCTCGAAAAATCAGAAAGTTAGTTCTCAGAAAACATCGCCAGGTAGATATATCAGCTTGGTTTCGGAAAGCTAGATAGAATAGAACATCCAACGTGTACCCCGGAATATATTTGTGGCCTTACACTATGTATATTCCTTGTTATGTTGGAACCTTGAACTTTTAGTTTCTTATACTGCTTCTCTTTCCAATCAGATCGATCTTACGCGATTTTTCATGACGAAGAATGGGGAGTTCCGGTCCATGATGACAAGTAAGTTTCAAGATTGTTATTCAGAGCATCCATTCACAAAATACAGATGGATAATTCTTGCTGTATTTGTTTAGGAGATTATTTGAACTCCTTGTTCTTTGTGGAGTTTTGGCTGAACTAACTTCCATTCTTAACAGAAGACATATATTCAGGTACTTGTATTCATATTTCACAGTAAGAATGGGACGAGGAAAAGGAAATCTTACAGGTTGGATTGCTCGTGTGTCTAGGGGACAAATCCTATTTGAAATGGATGGTGTAAGTTTGTCAGATGCTCGACAAACCACTAATACCTTAGTTCTTCGTCTTCCCATTCTACTCTTTTCTAGAGGCAAATTCGAAATTTGAAGTTTATGAGTTCCTACAACGATCTAAATTTGATATTACAATATAATAAGTCTTTCTCGCTAACAAGGTGAAATATTTCTTGATGCAGAGAAGTATTTGCAGATTTTGATCCTGTAGCAGTGTCGAAATTGAACGAAAAGAAGATTTTAGCACCTGGAAGTACAGCATGTTCACCACTATCAGAGCTTAGAAGTCATTGAAAATGCTCGTCAAGTGTCGAAGGTATATCCTTTGCTTTTATTCAGTTAGCTTTAGTAAATGCCTACCTCAACTGTATTTGCATTTGATATGGCATTTGCGTCTAACTCAACCCTAAAAGCTAGGTCTTGAGGGGAGAACTCACTGCACACGATCTTACTTTCTTGTTAACTGGAGGAGCAGCCGGGTGCACTAAGGGTCTATTATACGTAGCCTTACCCTGCAAGAGACTGTTTCCACAGCTCGAACTTGTGACCTCATGGTCACATCAACTCTACCACCAGTTACACCAAGGCTCCCCTTCGTCTTACCTTGTTGTTAATCACTAACTTGAAACTATTGTGTATGAAGTGAAGTTCCACATCTAGCTATTAAAGTATTTCAATAGTCATTGCAACTAAATTTGTGCTTATGTCAGATAACAGATGAATTTGGTTCATTTGACAAGTATATCTGGAGCTTTGTGAACCAACAGCCTATAGTTGGCAGATTCCGATATCCTCATCAAGTTCCGGTAAAGACCTCAAAATCGGAAGTTATTAGTAAGGACCTAGTTCGGAGAGGTTTCCGTGGCGTGGGACCCACTGTTGTCTATTCCTTCATGCAAGTTGCTGGCATCTTATCATCTGCTTCAGATTTCAGGTCTGTTTAGCAGCTGCTGAAGGAAAACAGAAGGATCTAAATGTGTAGATCAATCGTTGACCTGAGTTTCTCATTTGGTGTGATCGTATCGTTGAGCATTTTAACGATCCAATTCACTTGTATCATCTCGTTATCGTCTAAGCTCACTCAGATTAGTACCAGAACTCGTTGTGTAAATTATTGTTAGTACAAGATCAAAATTGAGTGAAGTGGTGGTAATTTTTGTTGTATATAGTGTTAGTGTGTAGTGTTATTGTTACAACTTCAAAAGCTACCATCTTAAACATTTTCCTGAATCAGAAAGTAAGACATTTTCACCATTGGTGGGATTACACTGGGTATGTTGTTATTGTTCTAGAAAGGTCCCAACTCTCTAAAAGTAGTCACCTCGAGGGTCTTGGTTCAAGTGGTAAGGACTCAGCATGTGAGAAGTGTGAGTTAGGTGCACGTCAAGGGTTTTTGGTTCCAGCGGTACGAAGCTAGACCTGATAGACCCATGACTTAAAAGTAAAAACATTACAAAGTAGTTCGAATAAAGAAAACAACAAGACTGAAGAAGCCAACAAAATACTAAAGAAAGCATACTAGAAAAAAAAGAACAATTTATATGCTAAACTGATTCATGTCCAACTTAAGTTCTCCTAAAACTTGCTAATAAATAGAAGAAACAGATGCAAATAGACAAACATCACAATATGTTCCTCTTAAGTTCTATGTTACTTATTTTGCTCCACAATAATGTACATAACTGAGTATAAACTATCTATATATTGGAGGACTATAAAAAAAAAGGTACACTCTTCTAAATTTCTACAAGAAAGCCCTATGGAGGAAAACTAAATAAATGCAGAAAAAAAATCAAAGCAGCTAAACAATTTAGCAAGGCTTTATTTCAAATCCAATACTCAACAGAGTTCGAGCTGATTCCATTGCTTTTTCTCCTCCAACATCCAATTTCTCACCTGTCAACTCACCTTCTTTATCCACGGACCATTGTGTGGTCGATTTTTGATGTTGTAGCGGTTCAGGTTTCTTAGCATGCATATTGGTTACAGAAGCAGGGGCAGTAGCAGCAATAAGAGGTGCACTCGGTGGACCATGGCGTTTTTTGGGTACGGGCATGTCATGATCGTGTACTCCCTTGTATGTTATTGTTAAAGCACTTGTGGTATCTACAACCCTCTCAATGTGCTTTCGAACAGGACATCCAGCTGATGTACAGCGATAGTAGTTCCTAAAGGTCATCCAGGAAACAACTCAGGACAGAACAGGAGAACGAAAGAAGCAAAATGAAGTATACTTTTGACCAAGATATGACTTAAAACGTAAAGTAGATAAAAACAAGTAATATGTGAGAACAGTTGTCAATATGTAAATATTGGAATAAACCTACATATAGAAATCGGTTTACATATGAATGAAAGTACAACCTACTTAATTGTCTGCTCGGAAGAGAACGTTACCAAGCTAGAATATGCCATTTCACAAGTTGTTTTCTTTGTTTGCCTCAAGGCTTGGCATGTCCATAACCTTTTACATAGGACTATTCTTTCTTTTTTATTTCCAAAAATTGGGGATAGGGGAAGGGAAAATGGTGGAGGGGATTACAAGATTGGAATCGGACACTCACCAACAAGGTAGTCAACCAACTAAACTACTAAGATTTCCCGAGGGGAATTTACATAGGACCATACATATTGATGTTGAATCAAAAGAAATTTTAACTTGAAACGGAAAACTAGCAGGAATTATTTACCTGAAGAATACCAAAGTTTTAACAGAACAGAATAGGGTGTAAAGATGAATGACACTCTCATCCATAGCATTTAACTATGTTGCTCGGAGTCTCCAAAAATGCTGCCGCACCCATGTTGGATTTTATGAAAATGCACTACTTTTGGAGTATCCCTCATGCACCCATCGACATTTTTGAAGAGTCCGAGCAACTTAGTTTAACAGAGCAGAATAGGGTGCATGAAGAATAGAACTCTCATCCATCAGCACAATCCAAACAAAAGGAAACAAAGCGGAGAAAATAGAAAAAACTCCAGTATGATTCAAGAAATGTGTTTAATGTGGCATCACTCCCTTCCAGCTCTTAGAATTCAGCGTAAGGCAGGCAGAGCAATCAAATGATTTATCAAGTGTACGGCATAAAATAATACAGTACCTTGGATGGGGATTTCCCTTCACCATTTTTTGTCCATACTTTCGCCATCTGAAGCCATCACTTGAGATTCCTACATCACAAGCAGCATGCACCACAAGTTTGGGTTTCTTTCCAGGTTTAGAAACAGATTCAGAACAATTTGCATCACTTTTCCTCGACCTGGAAATCATAGGTGAGAACTGAGATAAATCATATGGTTTTGAACATATGTAAGATGAAAAGCAGAAAAATGAAATAACTAAAATTGAATACAAGAGAGAACTTGCCTCTTCTTTTGTCCAGGCTCGTCACTATGCTCCTCTTTAATAGTGATTTCAGTGTCAGTGTCAGTGTCAGACCCACCGGAATCCTGATTTGCTGTCTCAGCAATTGGTAAACTTTCTTGCAAATTTTCTTTTAAGGAGGATACCACGGTCTCACTAGAATTTCTACTTGGATGAGCTATTATACTTTTGCCATTGGTAGGTGAAGACAATACTGCAGACTTGCTTTCCCTTGAGCTATTTACTATTGGGGGTGGATCATGATTGTGTTGACTTCTATAAATAATCTCCATAACACGATTAGTGTGATCAGAGCACTCAATCTTCTTGGCACAACACTCAGAATGAGTGCATCGGTAATAACTCCGAGAACCTTGAGGACTTTTAACTTGCTTTTGACCATACTTCCGCCAATTGTACCCATCGCGAGTTGGTGTCTTTAGAACTGGTATAAGAGGTAGAACCTGGGTGTCGGAACTCTGCTTAACCACTTCTTCTGTGCTACAATTTACTGCTGCTGATGATCGTCTTTCTGCTAGAGTTGCGCTTGGCACTGATGAAATGGACTGTGCAACGGATATAGAGGACAGCTCCAATGAGGATGCGGCATCAGGCACACGTCGCTGATGTTCTGTTCGTGTTTGAGCATTCAAAGTTCCAGGCTTTGTAACACTAATTCTATCCTGCATACAACATGAAATGACTCATTTGTTGTCAACCCATCCCACAAATATACATATCCAGTTCCAGCAATTGTCTGAATTAACTTTTTAGTAAAAAGTATAACATTATTTTTTTGACAAAGGTAACAGTTTTGTGTATTAATATTTAGCACTAAAGGCTGGGATCCCAAATTATAACATTATTATAAACAGAAAAGCCGAAACCAGATACTCTGGAAAATGTAATGTATTAACCTACAAACATAATTTGACTATTAATTATTTATAGCATCACGTCAAAAATAATGTTGCAATATGAGATATTATGAATTAGAGTGGCCATGTGATGGTCACCATATGACACTTGTTAAGGTTTCTTACCTTTGCTTTCAATTTATCCAAAACCAAAGGATCATGATGATGCCTCACGGGGTACCTGCTACTTGAGTACTTTCCACCAACACGAGTACGGGTAACTATAACCCTAAGGCTCAGACAGATGGGAAGACACCTACTGTTTTTTTTTGTCTCTGTTGTTATTTTAACTGTGGTCTCCAAGGTTTGCACCCACTTCATTGCTCATTTAGGAAACAAAATCTAATGCACAAAACAACTATGCCTCAATCCCAAATAAATTCGAATTAGCTAAATGAATTCACACTGATATAGTAATGATGTAGTGCCCCCCCCCCCCCCCCCCCGGGTTTAACTCACTTGGCATAGATTGAGGGACTTGTGTGTTAAGTCACAAGTTTGAGCCTAGGCCATCATCTCCGAGTTCTCTTATCTCGTGCATTTAATCCTTTCGGTATGTCTTATAGGCTTCATAAATATAATGGGGTTACTACATTTACATTCTGACGCTCATATAGCTCTCTCAGAGAAAACGTCTAAATTTACAGTTACAATACCCATCACCGTTTATGTGATATCCCAAGATCCTGCCACACATCAGCTCAACGTATTCCTACTGACTTCCCATCACCTACTAACGCTTCCCACTATCAACCATCATGAACAAGAAGGTGGACGAGGTCACTCTACAACATTTTCAACTCCTACCTAACTTGATCTTTTAAGGTAAAACTACTTTGCCGCATGCTTCATAAAACACAAACGAGGATAAACGAGAACTTCTAAATCTTCAGAATAACTTTGTATATGCAACATGGAATGTGTATAGGATCTTGTAGAGCCGATGATCATGCATCCTGTTTACCACATTAACTCAAGAAATCTCAGTGATTCATATTGCAGAAATTTTTGGCTCGATTAGTACTGACACTTAAAGTTTCAGCTTTAGCGGAATCTAACTTCTGTATCCTAATCAACCTTGTACATATCTACTTAACAAAAGCAGCGAGCTCTCAAGTCCAAAACTCCAAATAGTGACAGAGCAATCACCTTGAATTTTCTAATTGCGCATGTTGTCCACCCCTATCATGAATTACCTCAGTATCTCTGTGCTACCATTCAAATACATTACTTCTTTTTTCTTTTTTGAGTAAGTACTATTCAGATACATTGACACCTATGATTATTATAACAAGATAATTGAAAAACTAAAATATTAAAATACAATAACAACAACAACATAACCACTGTAATCCCATAAGTGGGGTCTGGGGAGGGTAGTGCGTATGCAGACCTTACCTCTACAATATAATAAGAATATGCTACCACAGTGAATCCACTCAAACGTCTCCCACATCTCGAAATAGATAAACTATCATATCAAAATAAAATATCAAGTCAAAAGAAAGAAATTGCATACCTTGATTTTTTTCGAGAAACCAAACGAGGGCAGTTCATATTCCACTGGTACTTCTGTCAGATTATTCAACACAATAATTACAGAATTTTCGTAGACAATTAAGCATGCATATACAACTCATGATCAAGTAGGAAACTCCCAAAAATGTAATACTTCAGCTGTGCTTTTGACCATTAATTCTACATTTTACGCTTATATACGCATAAAACAGGAAATAAAATTCAAATGTATAGCACCAAGTGCGTGGCCTAGTAGTCAATGAAGATGTTAAGCATCCTAACATCTCAGGTTCAATTCCCAACATAGACAAAATACTACTACTTCCTTCATCCCAATTTAT